AATACAATACCCGTATGAGAAAGCATCTACCCTGTCTTTGGGCAGGTACAGTGACCTTCCATCCACCGAGAAATCAATGATCGATCGTGTCTGCCCAATAGAGATTATAACTGGATCTCTCATCAAATCCAATCAGATTGGGCAACAGAAATCCTTCGAAATTGTAAGGAAGTTCTCCCCAATTTCCTGATAAATAAGACCCTTCCATGCCTTCTTTTGATTCCGAGAACTAAGGGTGGATTCGAGCTGAGCCGAGCCGAATAGTACCAGGCTCGAGCTCGATTCGAGCCAGAACCTTAAGCTCGAGCTTGGCTCGAGTCAAGAGTTCATAAGCTCGAGCTCGGATCGTTTTATATTTTATTATATATATATATATATATATATTCGAGCCAACTCGCAAGCCTCACGAGCCGAGCTTGAGCAGCTCGTGAAAAGCTCGGCTCGTTGCCACCCTACCCAGAACTCATTTCTTCTTCTTCCACATATCCAAAAAGCAAGAATCTGCAATATCTAGTGAGCGCAAGAAAGCCATTGAGTACTGGTACAATTGGCTCAACATCCCCTTCGTTATTGTAGATGCGCGCTCCTCTAGAAACTCAATCTCATTAGCAACGACAGAGAGCATTTGAACTAGCATGATGTCGCTGAGCTGGACCGGAGCCAAGAAAGCCTTTGAGGACGGTGTTCTTCTTCTTCGCAAAGAGGAGAAAATAGCAGTTGATGCCATACAAGTTAAGGATTCAAAACCCTCGCTTCCTCTTTCTCTCCTCCAAACGAAATGAGAAATCAGCCTCAACCAAACATTTTCCCAACCTCCTCTCCTCCTTGATGTGTACGATCTCTTCTGAAATCTGAATCCTCATGCAATAAGGCTATGTTTTATCTGATTTTATAACTTGGTATTGCCATGTTCTTTTATTTGGTTCACTCTTCGTTTTTGTCCATTTTCTTTCATTCTGCTCTGGCATGGCGTCAGACGGAGATTGAATGGGAGAATTGATAATTAAACAACTAATCCTCTAAACAAATTAATTGATAATTGCTGGGAATTGGAGTGATTGAGTAGATTGAATGCACAGATGATAGATTAGAACCCACGCGGATGGTACAATGAATCTTTCTCTAATTCCTTTGTCTTACTTAAGAGGAGGGTCCATCCTTTGCATAGTTTATGTAACGATGGTTGATAAAAAACGTACGAAACTCATCCTGTTCGTTTGCTCTTAAGACTGTATCATTCATTGAACTACTCTCTGCCTCTCTCTCTCTCACCAGACTGAGAAACAGAGTTATTGAATAGCAGACGAATACGTTAACGACCATTATTTTTGTTTTCTTAATGCTGGAGTTGGACTACAAATGACTCCATCATTTTCGCTTACCCACCACCCACCTTGCCATATTCTCTCATTTCCGCTTCTCCATTGCGTTAATGGCAACCATTACGCCTATACATGTCATCTGCCCTACTACTTGCCCCTCATCTCTCCCTACTTTGCACCCGAAACTATTCCATTCTTTTCTGATTCGCTGCTGTGAGGACACCCTCTGACGGTCCAGAGCAGCCCAAGTTGCTTCCTTTAATGGGTTGGCTGGTTACCCCGACAAGACTGATATGCTAACCCTAACACCTTCACCCTCGACGTATCATTCTAGTCCGGCATGGGCAAAGCCAAGGCAACGTCGACGAAAGTGTTTTTGGTCGGATTCCTGACCCCAAGATCGTACTTACCCAGAAGGGCATGCAGGAAGTTCTGAGCGACAGAGGAAGAGTGAAGATCGGTAGAGAGAGACCCTAAATGAGCATTTTTTTTCTCTAATTTGCCAGGGCCAATTTGGTCATGCAAACTGTATTTATGCTACGTGGACAACTTCTGTTGGTGAATATTAACGGTGCTTTAATAGAAGGTGAGTTTTGGAAAGAAAAACTCACTAACATGTGAGTTTTAGACCTTTTAAAAAGTTATGGTGGGTTTAAGAGAAATGCTGAAAAGTCAGTGAATTTTGGACAATTACCCTAAAAAATAAGTGATGAAGGGTGATTTGGCACAACCTAGCAAGAAGGGGACATGTAGGCACGATCTGATCGATGGATGACAACTTAGCCAGGCAAGCCTAGTTCACAACATTCGGAGTTCGAGTATTCAGCCACCTCAGCCCAAAATCTGCCTCGGTGTAGAGGCACCTCGACACCCAATCCAGTTCAAGATTAAAGAATCGAAGTTTCAGCTCGGAGTTAATGAAACTCCAAAGGCCTCCCCAACAGATCCTGAATCTCTTGAGGTCACGATGAGCCAACATATCCCAAATTTTGCAAGATCACGTTAAGAACTCATCCCGGTTCCGCCTGAATCGGAGGTAGATGATAAACCTTATCAACATACTGCTCTCCTTAAAAAATGGAACCAACTTATCTCCATAGCCCGGAGATCCCGGAGCTCTTTCATAAGGCCTACGACTACTCTAGTATATAAAGACTTGAAATCTCAAGGCAAAGGTACGCATGATAATTCTACTCACTAGCACTCAAGCTCTCAAGCATTCAACTCACATTCACAGTATAATTACTGACTTAAGCATCGGAGCGACCTCGTCGGGTTAGCTACCCTAGGTTCTCTGATCCACTATTTTGTAGATCGGTCCAGCTCGCCGCCCATTTGAGGTTCGGGTTGCTCTCCAGCTAGGAGTAGCTAGATCGCACACCATCAATAAGTTATTTAATAACAATCTAAAAATAAATTTAAATAAAATTTCAAAATTACACAAATGTAATAGATTTTCCATAGTTTTCATAAACTTACATTTTTGAAAATTAAAGATAATTTAGTGTACTTTTAGAAATTTACCATGTGGCCGATACTAGTATATCTTTTTGATCTTTTTTGTCATCAAATTGAATATTAGGTTGACAAGAAGTGGGTGCCTTGGCTTGAACCTGCCCGACATTGGGGATGGGGCAATGAAAATTTGAGGATTCCCTATCCTTGATGAGGAATGGGTGCCTTGTCTTGAACTCACTTGACACTAAGGACAAGGTGAGGAAATTCAAGGATTCCCCATCCCTAATAGGGAGTGGGAACCTTGCCCTGAACCCACTTGACACTAGGAATGGGGTAGGGATGGAGTGCCCTAAACCCGCCTTGTTGCCATTCCTATATAATTGTTAATTATTAGTGAAATTAATAAAAATGTTAGTTTTTGTAATTATTTTTATTTATTTAAAGTCAATCAAAATTTCATTTAAAAATAATAACAATTATTAAAATTACTAAAAATGATTAATAAAATTAAATTTATTAAAAATATTTGTTCATATTAAGTTAACAATAATTATTTTCTATAAATCAACATTAAATAAAAAATAAAATTATTAAAATTTTAAATTTTAACAATAGATTTAAATATTTTTAGTTAATTAATAGCAAATTTTGATTATTAATTTATCAAACAATTAATAGTAAATAAAATGATTCAATTTTTCAGATTTTTCCTTGCATCGAAGGGTCTTCGCTAGTACCTAATAACCAATAACAATTAGTATATTATTGAAACTTATAATTGAGTTAAAACTCTCTAATAGTGGAGCACCCTCCCTAGCACCTCTGTACTACAAGTATTGGGTAGCCCTAGTTCTTCTGTACCATAAGGCATAGGTACAACTGTACCTAGCTTATGTGAGACCGCAAACTGCAGTTGTTTTCAAACTGAACCATTCCATAATACCATGGTTTTCAAAATCAAATCGGACCAGAAAACTGGGAACCAGTTAGGTGATTGGTTTCGGTTTTCTCCAAAATCGGAAATTTGCCCAAAATCATTGATTTTGGTCAACAAATTGCTGACTCAGGCAGTTAACTGTTTAAACGGTTTTAACGATTTTTAATTTTTTTATTTTTTTGTCAGAACAAGCCAACCATTTAATTCGAACAATCAAACCATTCGACCCGGTAACCGGACCCTGACCAATTCGGTCTCCGGGTCTTTTTTAAAAACCATGCATACTACTGTAGACGTGATGTAAGAGGTCTTTTGGGTCCAAATAAAGTTTGCTTGGATGCCTTTAACCATTGCTTTGCAAATAAAACAATCTTTTCTTTTTGACCATTTGAAGAATTATTTAATCTTGTAGTTGGTTTTAGTTTTAGAGGGTTGATTTTTTGGTGCCAAAGATTGAATACGTTGGACCAGTGGAAATGTTAATAATGTTGCACTATTGATAGTGGTACCTATCTACTCAATGAATGGGGCCCATAAATGCATGCATACAAAACATATCAAATAAAGAAATAATTTCTATATGTTGTGTTGGCCATGTCAATTTTCCCTCCTGTTTGGTAAAGTTCCAAGTGATGTGCGAATACGTGAAGAACAGTTATAGCCAAGGTTTTTAAAACCGACCCGAAGCCGAACCGGTAAAGGAGTTTGGTTTCTGAGTCAAACGGTCCGATTGTTCAAACCAAATGGTTGGCCTATTCTGATAAAAAAAATAAAAAATGGCCAAAATCGTTGAACGGTTTGAACGATTCAACCACCCAAATCAATGGTTTGTTGACTAAACCAACGTTTTTCTTTTTGCAAATATCCGGTTTTGGGGAAAAATGGAACCAATCACCTGACTGGTTCCCAGTTTTCCAGTCCGACCATCCAGTCCGGTCCGGTTTTGAAAACCATGGCTGTAGCCTCTCTCCCCCCTTCCAAAGGGTACCAAATCAGCATTTTCCCAAACAGTCGCTCAGGCCATGTATATATTTTATTTTCATGCTCCAATACATTTAGCCCAGCCAAAGAAGAGTGCAACTTTTCTTGGAAGTGAAAAATCTGCAACAAGGGTTGGGTCATTTACCAAGTCTAACACATTTGACCATACGTACACTCCCCGTTCTTGTCTGGTTCCAGGAACCGTGTTGTCTAGAATAAATGCCACTGAAAACGCTACCACCATATTCATTGATAGAAGACCATTTATTGCAAAATCAACCTGAACACAATTCATTCAAATAACACATGGCAGCAAGTCAGCATTTCTCTACCATAGAGAAGAAGAAGAAGATATGTGTATACACCAATAAGTTCACTAAAACTGTCGAATACCCATGGAGTGGAATGTGGGGCATCTCCACACAATAAATTGATTCATGCTGATGCACCTCTTGAGCACTACATGTGGGAAAGGTACTAGAAAAGACTCATCCTCATGAGTCATGGCAGATGCCATTCCGTGGAGAGGAGGCATTCCTATGTCTAATATCATAATCCGTCACCCTTTAGGCAGTAATGAGTAAAGGTCCACAAAGCATGGCATAAGTTTCATATTGGAAATGGCTGTCGTAGCTTCCTTCCCCAATCCACATTAATAGATCCAACAGTTGGCTAGGAAATTAGATTAATCTGGATTGTGGGGAGCACATATAGAGTATTGCATGGTATTTGTTCAATATTAAAAACCTCCTTCAGTTATGTACTCATGTTTTTGATGTACAACTGATGGTACATATCCAGATACGTTATTATGAGGATTGAATTTTTATATAGCTAAAACCTGCGAATATCTTCCATTCTTCCCATCAAAAATTTATAGGACTTTCCCTTTCTTGTCCTACATCACCTAGTATGGATCTTCTAGCCCCATATCTTGCTCCCTGCATATGCTAATATGTTTATCTGTGTATTTATAGATAAATATTAAATGCAGATATCTTCCACTTACTTCTTTACTGCCAGTGTGGACTGGTCCATTTGATGCTGCTGCATAAGGGACGAGGTAGCTTGGCAGTATGAAGCTGGAATCTGGTTGATATTGTTGGAAATATGCTGGTATTGACAAGGAGAAGAACAAGGAAAGACCAACTATTGTTATATTTCTAAAGGTTGATGTTTGGCCATACTGCAAAGTTGATAAACCCAGTGCCACAATCAGGGCCCAGATGAAGCACAGGACAGAAACAGCCAAGGCTTGAGGTATTGAAGCAAGGAGAGCACCAACTTTCCCTACCAAATGGAAGTAATAAATTCAATATGCAAAAAAAAAAACACCAAGTAGATAAGCATGGATTTGCATACAAATATAGTGTATTTCAGAATATAATATATAAAACCTTTCTTCTGAATGAATTTCCTTACCAAAAAAAGAGAAAAGAATCAACAATAATGCTCCAAGTTCCACAGCCCTTCGACTTGCCACCTTTGTTATGTCAATTGTGTGCACATTTTCTGTTAAGGTTGTTGACCCAGATCCTGTTCCCCATAGTCCAGCCAGAATACTGCAGAAACCTTCCATTGCTATTCCTCTGCTGACAATACCTGGTGTTGGGGGCCTTGAAATAACAAGTAAAGATGCAGAGTGATAGGTTCCAACCTGGGTGAGTTGCAGAAGATGCACTGTTGTTAAACTTTCGTGGTATTAATGTTTAGTTTTCTACTATTATTTATAAACAATGACTTTATATGTCAGTGTTAATGTTCTGGCACATCTGAACAATAAGCTACTCACTGAATCTACTGATGCAATCATCGACACAATGATCATGATAATGGAAGTCTTCAAATGAAACGTAGGGATACCCCACTGTAAAGGGTAGGGTACTCTAACCCAAGCAGCAGTTCTCCATGCACTGGAAGCATCTGTTCGACAATGCTTCATGGTAAATGCATGTTCTCTACATGCATCAGATAGAATATTTGAACTGGGTATGTCAGGATTACAGCCTTTGTAGTCATATGCTCCACCATCTGTCAGAAAGAATGCATATGCCCATACAACTGCAACGCTAAGTGGAACCTGCAATGTCAATAGTTTTAACAAGATAAAATAAACTAATGAGACTTAGTGCAAGGTGTTTTTAAGTCAGACTTTAGGAGATAATGGAGACAAATTGGATGGATTAATAAATTAAGATAATTTGCTCGAGGGAGACTTCTCTTAGGGGGCAGGGGGCATGATGCAATTCTTAAAACGTGAATTTATATACATTAGATTGTTAAATGTTGCTATTGTTATGTAGCCGTCAAAAATAATATTATTACCATTATGCAAAGGTAATCAGGGAAATAAGGAAGTCTGTACCATTTTAATGTCATTTATTCTATTGGCAATTGTGATTTGCTTAAGCATAAAATGATTATTCTGATTTTCATTCTCATATAACTGAAGACTTTATGAGCTCCCAAAAGGAATTTTAAGCTCTAATGTCCCCACTATTGGTACTTCATGCAATAGACATATTCCAATTTTCCAATAGATGTGGTGATACAGATGGATAATAGCCAATTCCTGATGATCTTCATGTTCCTCAATTTGGACCTGCAGTTGAGCATCAAAATGGTTAAGAAGTTGAGCCTGACATGGGCCAGTAAAGCAATAACTGGCCTATGGTGGGAATATATTATGCCCCCATAGGATTTTCTGAGTTTTTGATATTCTTATAGATTTCAATTTTTTTAGACGTGCTAGATCCACTAATATTTGTGACATTTGCCTTAGAGGATCTTTGATATATGAAAAATGCTAACAATATGGGACAGGCAACCATACTCTTTTTTATTTTGGTTAAAAAAACTCACATTCAGTTGACCTGAACACCATGAATTGCAGGGCCCAATATTTATTAAGTTAAAGAGTGTCCCAATTTTGAGGAATTTTAGAATGAACTCCTTTTTATTGAAAATTCTATAAATATCATTAAAACCATTAATGAAGAGTCTTTTTCTCATTGAAAAGGTAAAGGTCCAACAGTGAGCTCCAAAATGTAAAGGTCCAACAGTGTAAACAACTAAAGGTTTGAAAGGTAAAGAAATTCAGTACCGCATATACTTGGAATATTCGATGCCCAGAAAAGGAGACTCCTCGAAGGTACTGAAACCAATACAAACAGAATAAACTATGTTTGTTTCAAGCATATCATGAACACCTTTGCAGGAGCCAAAAGAACACAAAATCAAGAGAATTTAACAAGGCCAATGACCATGCTAAGATGGAATTACAGAAATATTGTAACTACAATTGAAAGATTTTGGTTTGTATAAGTCTTTTTGTGAAGTTGCTTACCAGGGTGAAAATAAGAAGCAATAGTATTTGTGGAATGCTTATTTCCACACAACTACTGGCCTGAGGAAAACCATAGCTGAGAAATGCTAAACCTACTGTAGCAATCGTTGGTGCAACAACAATCGGGTTTATCAACCTGCAACAAAACATATTAGAAAATGGAATCAAGGTGCTCATGCGACTAAAATTGGATGGAACAGTAGCTATTCAAAGTACTATGAAATATATGATTCATCCAGAAGTCACTTGATATGGTAAATCTGCTAAGTGGCACCCTCTGAATACTCAGTTTAATGGATACACTTTGAGTAACCTGTGTTCATGTGTAACAGAGGCTTCTTTATATACAGTTGTGGTAAAGTTACTATTCTGTTTTGGGAGTTCAGTGGGTATGTGGTTCCTAAAAGAGAAAGCTCTAGCCTCCCTCACAGAAGAGCTGAATTGTCTAAGGTGGGTGCAGGAGGCCCTGGCAATGACATGGAGTGGGGGAAAGTAATAGAAAAAATGGAAGCTTATAAGGAGATTGTGACCTAAACACTCTGAATATCTTATTCTCAAGAGTTTGAGGACAGTGATGCATATCCAGATGAAGTTACTTTCTGCTAACACCTCTGACAGAAACCTATTGAGATTCATATCCCATTTTAAAACATATTCATGATAAATAAATTTAGAAAATGCACTAGGCCACAATTACATGTTTGGGTGCTTAACAGAGACCTTTGTAGAGTTGAAGATATAAGTGAAGAAACAACAAATAGAACAAAAAGATAATCTAGCAAAATCTTTCTAAGGATATATAACCTAGTACCTCAAAAGAAGAGACATGAGACCACTGCATCCCAAGACGCTCTGGAAAATTGCACCAACAATAATGGCCCCTTGCAGTTCCTTCATTATATCCTTAAATTTCTGCAATCAATTAAATGCATAAGATGTGTCATGCAACGAGTTAGGATTAATTAATTGAAAGAAAAAAATAATCTGCAAGGATTATTAGGATATGCTATTATAATGTTCATTCTCGTCAAAATACAAATTCCGGTTTTAAACTTCAGTTGGTTCTATCAGGAATTTTTCTATGTGAGTAAAACCAGGGAAAACATATATTAGAATATGGACAATGTAAATATTTGTCTAGTATAGAACCATATGAAACTCTGATGAAATCTTAGAAAATTTCCCAAGATTATCTGAAACTATGCAACTATTTTTCTTTTTATATTTTTATGTTCATTTTTGATAAGCAATTATTGGTTTTGATTTGCTCATTGAGTACAGAAAAGTGCTTGGCTGATGTAGAAGAAATTTTGGAACTACTGTCTGAAAGTTGACAAAATGCACATATTGCAGAAATCAAACTCCTAATGCTAGAAACTAAATGCCCTGACAAAGCCTTTTTTTTTAACTTATTCTGTTTTAAGAAAACATTTACTATTATTAATTACTCTATTAGTGTCATGGTTCCATCACGATGTCTACAAGAATCATAGTATGAACTTGGTAGTTATTTGGAATATTGAAAGAGTGAACAGATTTTTTCTAAAAGAATCTAGTAGAAAATGGTCCTTATGTTAAATTCCAAATTTCCAGGAGTCCATTGCATAACTCATAATGAGCACAATTACAATTAAAGAAAGCAGGGTTTCCTAGTTAGAGACAATTTCAAACTAATTCATGCACAGACTATAGAAAGTGATGATTGATTGAGAAGATTCTACGTTTAGGCTGGTTGGATTTTCTCAACCTTCAGAAGAAAGGTAATGCCACAATGTCCAGGGCAACAAAGGAGGCCATAGGATTGTATCTCCAAAAAGAATAAAAACAACCTGCAACAGTTTTGAAAGTCCAAAGTATATTGACAAATAAAAAATGCCTATCCATGCTAAAGTTGACTGGTGAAACGAGACTTCCAGTTAATGCAACTTACATTTTCAGCAAGATTCCGGTACTCTCGAGAATTCATGATAACTAAAACTGGGGCCAAATATACAAATGAGCTCCCTTGAACTAAAGGGAGTCTTGTTCCGAAGTAGGAGTGCAATATTGTTGTAATACCAGATATCAACAACATTGTGGAAATCACAGTGGCAGTATCCCCCTGTATTCATTACCCGAACAAATTAAACATGATCATCCTCTTTAAATGGTGCCGTAAATAAAAAAAAAATGATAAAACAAAATGCTTACATCAGTTCCACCCATGGCTGGCACAATGACCAATGGAATGAAAATAAGGGAACCGGCCAATGATAAATAGTGCTGCAGGCTGTAATAAAGAAGGGGGACTGCAGTTGGAAATGCAGAAAACAATCAAGAAAATAAACAAGTGTTCTTACAAATCATTCTGAAATTCTTCAAAATCTGTAAAATTCTAAACACACCTCCTTTCTGATTGTAGATCGAGAAGAATAGCATCCTTGGTTTCAAAGTAAAATTATAGCCTTGCTCTATAACAGTCTAAGAGCGCTTCAGTATACTTCAATTGATAGCTAGGGTTTATTATTGAAGGTCATTGCATATGATACTTAAATATGTTAAATATGGTGTCAATCAATGGGGGTTGACAAAATGGAAGCACAGAAAGGTATTTTGTTTCTATCCGAGGTAAATTATTACAATTATTTAAAGCCAATAGGAAATCTATTTGCTTTTAGAGGTTATTGTATTTTAGAAGGATCAGTTATATAGGCTGAACTGTTTAAAGCTTAGGAATCTTCTAAAGAAGAAAAAGAAATATAGGATGTATTACTATTATTTTGGCTTGCGTTTCCAATTTAGGACTTTTACTTATACAAGTTACTTTATTTTTCAGCAATCAATTCATTCAAGTTTGCTTATTGTCTCCATTATGCTTTCTGTAAGTCCTCAGTTTCCCTGGACAAGTAATATGAGAAGAAGGTTAATTTCCATAATACGATAAAAAGAAAGCATCCTGGAAAAATGTGTTTGAATCTCTGTAGTAAATGAAGAGCAATAGCAAATTTGCATTCGAGAAAGTGAAAGTATACTAACCAAAACCAGGATTGTCTCTCAGACCGTACTTCATCACTGATGGTCTACACCACACTGGATGATTAGGTTGCTCAGCCTCTGGATACACATCAATTTCCATTTCGCCTTTGGCCTTCTTATCTTCCTTCTTGGGTTCAGCAGCTGGAGGAACTGCTGGAGTCGCCTCACCGTTTACATGTAAAATTCCATTTCCATTCAAAGCAACTTTCCCGTGGTCATCCTTAGGCCCCAGAACAGGGTCAACCTCATTTCTCTTCTTCTGAATTTCAGTTCTTCCCGGTGCATCCTTTAAAACCGAGTCAGCATTACTTTCATTCTTCCGCAACTCATTGCCAGACACAGAATCCGGTTGAATCTCATCTTCCCTGTTCCCTCGAGCACGGCCCGAGATGGGATCAAACTCATTTTTTAGAGAATACCCACCTCTCCAATTAAGACCCTTCTCCAAATCAAATCCAGCATTATCATTCTTCTCATTCGGGTCACTCTCATTGACACTGATGGTCATTTCTCCGGAGAAGTAAGTGTTGAACCCGGTCCTCTTGACCCAAGATTTCATCTCCTTTGGGTTGTGATCAGTTCCTGGTACGAATGGTTCAATCCTGGGTTTCGACCTGCCCTTCTTCTGCATATCATCCTTCACCTGTACCGCTGAGCCCGAACTATCTTCCACTGAAGTTTTTCCTCTGTCTCTTACTCCCCAAAAAGAAACAAAACATAAAACAAAATGGACTTCACTGTGTTTCACACACTTAAGACCAAGAAGAAGAAGAAGACAGAAGAAGCTCTCCAAGTCATCAAAATGTCGGTTGAAGATGCGCTTGTCAGCTTGTATGTGAAAAAGACAGGAACGAAGGAGTATAATATTAGAAACAAAAAAGGGTAAGGTTAGATGTTAGATCTGAAAGGAACAGATATTATAGTCGACGTCGTGAAACAGGATTTGAGTGGAGAGCATCATTGGTTAGTCTCTGAAGTAGGAGTGATGTGAGAGTGAGAGTGAGGTATGTTTTCTTTGCCTCTCTGGTTTGGTGTAAGCTCGCCGGTTACCATCAACTGGAGTTTCCAGGTGATTTAAGTTGCAAGAATGCCAATGGAAGCCCGTCGGAAACCATTCTCCGGAAGATTACTGCTGCTGCTGTACCAGAGTATGAACTCTCATCCAGTCATCCTTTCTTTTTTGCTTTACCTCCAACGATTTCTTACATTTCAAGTTTCTGGAGACTCGTTAGTTGGGCAGTTTTAAAACTCACCGCTTGACACAGTAACTCGGACGAGTACCTTGGTGAGTGAGGTGGGGCACGACTCGGGATATTAGATTTTCATTTTTTTTTTTCCATTCACACTTCACAGTATTCGGGAAACAAAAACAAACCAGATGGGGAAAAATTAGAAGGTTTATTGTTTAGTTTCTTTTGGCCTTTTGGGTCAAAAAAACAAAAAATTATAACTATCGATAACCCTAGCTAGCTGAGAAAAGAACATTTGACAAAAACAGTGAAAATCGAAAAAGAAGAGAGGGAGAGCGAGAGAAAGCAAATTGATCCTTCTAGTCTTCGTGCCAAGCAAAATAGATGAAGTAGGGTTAGAGAAGTCCAATTGATGCGACAGAGATGGTGATTCAGTTAGAAGAACACACATGCCTCGCCTTCTACGTCAACTAAGCCTCCGGCGAATCATTCTTGTGTATATCGAGTCGGAGTTATTTTGAACTAAACTGGATTAACAAGCTGGAGCTGAGCTATAGCGACTCCAAACGGTAATTCAAGCCAGGGCAACTCCAAAGTTGCTACGTTCACGTACAACTTGATTGCTGGTCAATTGTCCTTTCCAGATTATAAATTACAGCAGCACAGGTTGATCCGTGAATCCAGTTACCTAAATTCGATATAGCATTAGCATCGTTTTTTCATTAATTAAACTTGTGATATTGATCCAAGATTTTGTAATGTGCCCCCACTTCTCGATCATAGTGAAGGAGCAATTCTAATTTTAGCGGGTAATACTTTTGCATCAAGTGATCAAGTGAATTGATTCATAGTCTGCTGCTTTTTTTTTTTTCGGCAGCTTCTAGTTTCTAAGGAGGCCAGATTCATTCATTGATTCCAGAAAATAAAACTTAGAATTCTGCTTTTGCAATTATTTTTTCTCCTCCCCTGTATTTGTATTAGTATTAGGAGAGTGCAGGGTGCAACAACCTCCATGTAATCAATGCGACAGGTTGCAGCCCAGTAGGCAGTAGAAATAAATCAGTTGGCAATGTAGAAGTCTTTTGTTTTACCCATATGACACTGCTTTTTCTAAAAGAGAAGGAAAATCCGATTTCAATGCTTGAATAGACCAATATGGTTTGATCACTTGCATAGAAGACTATCTGTAGGCTGTAGCACCCAAAAAATAAGTGATATGTTGCAACTTGAAGGGACTTAAAGGGTTAAGGCTAGGGGATCATTTTCAGACCAGCCTGATCCACCCACAAATTCTGGGCTTGGACCTAGCATTAAGGTCGCAAATCAGCATGGTTTGATGATCTCAAGCATCTGTTTTAACCTTTTTATTTGTATGATAGAAAACTCAAATAAAAAAAGCCCCAAGAGCTTTAAACGTTCATACGGATCAATGGGTCCCAAACAATTTGATCATACTCTACCAAAAAGAAAAAAAAAAAAATTGAACATACAGAACTTTTGTGTAGCTGATCTCTTAGGTCGAACCCACCATTGGTGTTTATATTGCAATGCAAGAATAAGGGATAAATGGCCACAACCTTTTAGCAGGATTATTCTTTCTTTTCATTCATTGGGTAATTGGGTTACCCTTAAAACAATGGAACATCTATGGTACATTAAAAAGAATATCTGGAGTTACTTGGACTGGTTAAGGTCTCATTCTTTGTGAAATAGCATTTACAAGATGCTATATGAAGATCGCTTTTACAAAGCATCACTCCAATGCTCCTCCTCTTTTTCTTTCTTTCTTTTTTTTTCTTTATCTTTTGGTAAATCAACATTCCCCTCTTTATTCGAAGATGCATCTTGCTTAACAAATAGTTGCAACATAGGAAGCACTGTCTCATCCACTTGCGCATCCAGCCCCTTAAAAAGTGAGCCTGGATCTACTGCTCACTGCACTGTGTAAAAAGCTATGTAACCTATCACGAGTGAACACACCAGTGTTCTGTACACATGAGTGTGTGGATGCCATGTGTATGGAACACTTGTGTGTTCACTCGTGACTGATTACATACTGTACACACAGCATGGCAAGCAGCAGATTCCAAGTGCTTAAAAGTGTATTAACAAAATTCATGGTACAGTCATAAATTTTCTGAATTCAAAAACTTTGGCTCAGTTTGGAAAGAGTGCAAATACAAATATGTACAGTACAAATACATACAAAATATAAAGTTTTGCACTCTACATATTTGTATTTGTACTCCTTCCAAACTGAGCCTTTATTTCAAAAGCCACAATTATTGGCATACAAAGCCTTCTCACCAGTCAAACTGTTTATACTTCTTGTTTCCATGTCCTTTTTTTTATGATAATTAGTATTATATTAAACTATGATACAGCCGAACTCATGCTCATGTTCATGGTTGCAGCACTGAACTGTCTTCTGTCATGTTAACAGCATATGTGATGCCTAATCCATCTAGGTGGACTCATTCATATTCAGTGTTCACTGGTCACTGTCATACATTTACTATTTGTTCCCATGAATTATCAATCACTTGGTCTTCTTCCCCAACTGTCTGAAATCCATCTAGGGTAGAATCATCTTTCAGTGTTCATCACCAATCACTATTTATACATGCACTACTTGTTCCCATGAATTACAGCCATTCAGTTTTCTTTCCTAACAGATCACATACTGTTCTATTTTCTTTCAGTAACCATATGGATTAGCTAGAGTTAACCATAACATTCTATTGGAATACGTCAATACTACAGCACCTTTTTTAGGGAATCATAGTAGAAAATCTGTCTTCTTTACTTGAAGATGCACCTTGCCTCTGTTTCTAAGATGTGACTAGGAAGCACTATCTCATCCACTTGCACATCTAGCCCCTTAAAGTGGTATTAACAAAATTCATGGTACAGCCATAAATTCTCTGGATTTAAAAACTTTATTCCAAAAAGACACAATTATTAGCATAAAAGCGTTCTGACCAGCCAAATTGTTTATATTTATCATCTCTAAGTCCATAGTTTTTTTTTTTTATCATTGGGATTATATTAAAACCAGAAGAGACCTGTGTGATGCATGGACTGGTGTTAAAAGATGCCCATGTTCTATAGTGAAGTGACTGCATTCAGTTTCCTAATAAAAAGAAACTGACTTGGTTATTAGTTTAAATATCCTTATATTTGATTTTTTTATTTTTTTTAATAAAAACCTACAAAATCCTAAGATTGTTGGAAGCGGTTTAAGGGGGAGAGAGAATAAGCTGATGTGGACAGCTGTGTCTTAAATATATAGAATAGATATGATAAAGCCTCCATGAGCTTCAGCAGAATTAATGAACTGTTTTCTGTCATGTTAAAAGCATATGTGGTGCCTAATCCATCTAGGTGGACTCATGTTCAGTGTTCAACAATCACCACTGTAAATTTATTGCATGTTCACATGAATCATCAATCATTTGGTCTTCTTCCCCAACTGCCTGAAATCCATCTAGGGTGGAATCATAGTTCAGTGTTTGTCACCAATCACTATTTACACATGCACTGCTTGTTCCCATGAATTATCAGCCATTCAGTATTCTTTCCTAACATATCACATACTGTTCTATTTGCTTTCAGTAGCCACATGGGTTAGCCAGAGCTAACTATAACATTCTATTGGAATATGTAAAGACTATAGCACCTTTTCTAGGGAATCATAGTGGGAAATCTTTGTTTTCTTTACTTTTAAAGGTTTCTTATTGAAGACACTGGATGTTATCCCAAATGTTGGGTCATAAAACCTCATCTTTCTTTAATAATCCCATTTGAATCTTGTTTCTCAAAACTTTTTCAGGTATTGTTTCCTACTTGATTTCCAAATGCTTGAGAATGCTCATCACTGTAAAACACAACTATCAACAAAAAAGATAACATCTGAACCATAAACAGATCTTTTCATTGGTTCAGGAACTCCAAAGTCAAGATATCAAGATAGAGCTCACACCCAAAATCCAGAAGGTAATAAAGATCTAGAATTATATTTGAAAAATAGTTAACAGAATCTTGCCCTTAGAGCAATTGCAGTAGCATTTTCTCTTCTGCTTTGTCCAGCATATTCTATAATCCCTGGCCTTGGAAACCAATTGGATCAAAACCATATTACTTCCATATTTCTTTGCATCAGAGGACAGGAGTTCATCACCATCTAAAATTTATTGCTTAGAGGAATGCTAGTAGAAACAGAAATGAGATCACTGAAGGATTTCAAGAAATGAATTTGTGTCTGCATCATCTTAAGATAGCTTAATTTTCAAAGATGAACTTGTGGGTTCAAAAATGAAAAACCATAAAATAGAATGATTTCAATCGTTGACCCTCCACGCACCTCCTAACCTGTATTCCAAACCATGATAGCCATAGTAGAACCTTTAACTGAAACCAGAATAGTACCTCTATAGAGACCTTTCACCTTTCCTATAGCTTGTCATCTTGTACAGACTTTTTATCTGCCATGACCAAACCCATTTCTTCCCCATTCAAACTTCACAGTCCATGGTTGCTTCAACCCAGCAACCATGATAGCCATAGACACCTCCTAAGTTCTCTTCCAAACCATGATAGCCGCAGTAGAACCTTTAACTGAAACCAGACTAGTACCTCTAATAGAGACCTTGCCCACAGCTTGTCCTCTAGTACCAACCTTTTATCTCCCATGCCGAAACCCATTTCTTCCTCATTCAAACTCATGGTCCATGGCTGCTCCAACCCAAAAGACCTACCAACAACCAAAATACCATTCACAGTATCTTGCATTAGCAAACTAGTGCATGTAATATTAAAAGCCACGTTTCCACCAAAACTAGCAGTGACACTAAAGGTCGCTGTTTCACTACAAGTCGGTCACTTTTGATATTTATTGATAAAACTTCACTTGATTCTACAATTACCTAATCTTCATGAAGAAGAACAATCACTGAAAGAGGAATACAGAAACAATAACAAAAAGGAAAGAAAATTAATCACTGAAAAACAACGATACTCATCGGAATTCTGAATATTAACAATTGAGGACGACAGGGAGACACGAAACTGAAGTTAAAAGAGAAAATAAGGAAAAAGAAAAAAAGAGGAAGGGTATGAACAGACATGATCGCCGAAACCAGAAACAGGATGGTTAGCTCTTAGATACCGAAAGAATCCGACTAGACAACTGCGCCTGTCGCTCGCGAAATCGCCTTTTGAGGTAAGTCTCGAGGATCTCCATGACGGATATGAAGCGCTTCATTTCCTCCAACCTGCGATTGAGCTCCGCCTCTCGAGCTCTTGCTCGTTCAAGCCGGGCTTCGGTCTCGGCCAAGCGATCTCTCAGTGCTTCCACTACTGCGTTCTCCTGCGCGGATCGAGCCCTCGACGGGATGAATTCTTCGGGTAAAAGAAATCGCTGCTGATCCAAACACATCTTCTAAGTTCTAAGCACTTACAAATCCACTGGAGAAGCAGCGGTGGGCGGAGTTGGAACGAAGAAAAAAAGGGATCATTTTACATTAACTCGGACCGTCGGCCGTCGACCGATGGATGACAGACACGTATTCTGATTCTTCTCTCTGTGTCTCACCAATAATTGATTGGTATCGTGGATATCAATCTTGGCCGTCGAGTCCAATCAACGGAGCTGGTCGTGTCGTGGTTGACAATTCTTGAAAATTTACGCGTGGAGTTCAAATCGTCTACAGTTCTACTTCCTGTGATAATACTGGGCCTATATGATAACCGCGTCAGCTAGCTTCAGACACATCATACATGTCATGTCATGTATCTGGCTGATGTGGACTTTAATAATTGGTCCAGCAACATCAAGTCCCCGTTTGGTTCATGGGAATAAAGTCTGAAATCATCAGGTCATTTCGATTTCAGTGTTTTTTTGGGTGGAATCGGAGTCCCATTTCTATTCTATAGCATTATCCCATTTGAGGGAATGGCTATTTATACCAAATAAATTATGGAATAGACTATTCTGATTTCAATTTTAAAGAGATTTTGATTCACATTCCAACTGCAAATCCTCATTTGTGATGCTGATGTGGAATTGACTTTATTTTAGACATTGGGATATTTAATACCCACCAATGAGTTCATGGAGTCTAGGATTTAACTTTTGTCAAAATTTGAATAGACGCAATCCAAAATCTGAACATAACAGTGTAAAGTATGGCCCAAATCCCGGCCCATGATCAGGTCTTGATAAAATTTGTTGAACAAAAGAAAATTCTTTCTAAGAACATTTCAGCATCATCTGTACTCACACATCATATGCATGGCGAGTCTCAGGGTTTTAGGAAATTTTTTTGCCCTGAATACCAATAAAAAATAATATTTTTATAAAATAACAAAAGTGGACAATGACACTGTTTATCGCCTTCCTCTGCGTCTGTATTCATCCTGAACCTCACAACTGAATCAGAGCTAAGCACGGAGCCGTCCAAAACAATGTAATCACATGTGTTCCTCATTAGTGCACAACACCCTCGACCAGTTAAACGATCTGACCCGTTTGAGCTTCAAACTTTTGCTCGCAACGTTAACAATAATCGCCGAGAGCCGTTAGTAGAAAAACGTGATGTAAACGGGGCTGTGCTCGGCTCGAGGTTTCGTTAACGGAAGAAAACTTCTGCGTCTGTATTCATCCTGAACCTCGTCATCCGAACCGACCACATCGTCGGAGCCAACCGCGGCTGGGACCCTGGAATCAACTATACACTCTGGGCCAACCACACCTTCTAC